TCTATTTTTAATAATTTTTCATCAGAATTACTATAAAGTACCAGCCTGATCTCACAAGGATACGTAACTATTTTATGTTTTGTCAGGCTAATTCATACAAGTTCAGTCATAGGAAAATGCACTATTTTTAAAAGGAGGTGTGGCACAAAACCCACCCCTAAACCCAACTGACACTGGGAGATGAGCAAATCATACTAATACTAAATCATACATACTACCAAACAAATGAGATTGTACAAATTTATATGAATTACCCACTAAATAAAAAAGCTACAAATTGCCATGTGATAATTTTAAATGTACCTAAAAGGGATTTTCTCTCTTAATTCTTAAGCTGTGTGAACTGAAAGTTTTTAAAGAGCAAATGTTGGACTTGAAGCATCAATTTATACTTAAATTGTGCATTTTTAGTAATATTTTGCATGTGTGGGATTAGCAAGCACAAATGTGAGTGTGAACACACCTCCTAAACTACCACAGACACCACTGAATTTCTCTAATTGCACTAACCAAGTACCTCTGGAATCTGTGCATTACAAACATACATGTATAGTATATGTGTATAATACTTTTATAAGGCGCTTCAATTGCAGTGTATTAGCTAATTTTTTCCTAATCCTTCAACACGTCTTTATTATATTTATGTTTATTATATTTTCTGTACAAATAAGTTACTCTGAAGCATTTAAATGGTCCCCTGATTGAGAAAATGAGAAAAACGTACATTAGTTTGAGCACAAAATAGCAAAAATCAGAGGTAGCGCTAAAAGTGTGGCAAACATGTGAGTGAAACTGAAATAGGTGGGATTAGTGTGTACACTACCTGACAAGTCTTGCCGCCTATCCAAGTTTTTTGGAACAACAGTTAATAACTTGACTTCTAGTTGATCATTTGGTATGAGAAGTGGCTTATATTAAGGGAGAGGTCTCTAGATTACACTTATTTTAACTAAATAAAATATGATCATGATTTGATTTTTATTTATTTATTTAGGACAGTAAGGTCTGGCTTTGCTGAGACAACACTTATCACTTAACAGAAATAATGTAAAGTATAGAATATAAAGTCATAGTGCAGTGAAAAAAATAATAATTTTGTGTTTGACTCCCATGAGCTTGGAGGACTGCATCCATACATCTCTGCAATGACTCAAGTAACTTATTAATAAAGTCATCTGGAATGACAAAGAAAGTGTTCCTGCAGGACTCCCAGAGTTCATCAAGATTCCTTGGACTCATCTTCAATGCCTCCTCCTTCATCTTACCCCAGACATGCTCAATATTGTTCATTTCTGGTGATTGGGCTGGCCAATCCTGGAGCACCTTGACCTTCTTTGCTTTCAGGAACTTTGATGTGGAGGCTGAAGTATAAGAAGGAGCGCTATCCTGCTGAAGAATTTGCCCTCTTCTGTGGTTTGTAATGTAATGGGCAGCACAAATGTTTTGACACCTCAGGCTGTTGATGTTTCATTCACTCTGCAGATCTCTCACACCCGCATCCTGAATGTAACCCCAAACCATAATTTTTCCTTCACCAAACTTGACTGATTTCTGTAAGAATTTTGGGTCCATGCAGGTTCCAGTATGTCTTCTGCAGTATTTGTGATGATTAATCAGAAAAATCGACCTTTTGCCACTTTTCCTAATGATCAACTAGAAGTCAAGTATTTATTTGTTGTTTTTCACAACTGGGACAGACGACAAGACCTTTGTCGGGTAGTGCACATATATCATGTAAAGATTTGTAGCAGTTGCTTTTGAAATGTTGCAGTAAAAAAGCAATTTTTCAAACAAAGCATACAAAAATAAAAAGATATTTCTTTCAATGAGTTTTTACAAGGATTTTTTAGGATTGCGACAAACAATATTAGGAGTGTAACGGTACACAAAAAATGGTTCCTGATCTTAAGACTCAACAATTGATATCGATCTGTAAAAAAGTATATAAATCTAAAAGTTTCAAATTGCAGATGCACTTAAGCACCCAAAATAAACAGTCTCAAATACCAACAGGATTTCACCCCCTATTTTAATATCGCCGTTATCATTCCTAGACATGCCCCTTACTATCGATTGGCTGCAAGTGTGTTTTGGCACTTGGCCTGACACTGACTGTGGTCAAAAAGGCTTTTCAAGTTGCTTAATGCACCTTTAAGTACTGCTCATGCTTTGGATAAAACAGCGTTTGTTTAGTGCTTATGCGTACCAAACTGTACCAAAGATTTCCAGTACAAATATGTTTACCGTTACACCCTTAATATGCGAATAGTGGTTTGTACTGAAATCCATTACACATGAATAGCTTCTATAGTTCTACTTGGATACATTAAACCACTAAATATAAGCAACACAGACAATGACGTTTCATTCTGCTCAGCTTTTGTGTCCCACTGTATTGCCTTCCACTTCTAGTCATTTCATACTCAAGTACTGTAGACCAAATCCAGTGACAGTGCCTTCTGAACACTTTACATTTGATTATATATGGTTTGAACAGGATTCAGAAAGTCACTAAGCTGCCACTCCATCTGATTCTTCAGGTCACAGGCTGATATTTCTGTAACATTATTGCTGGTGGTGAATAAGTTCCTCTAAATATCTTGAATTTGCAGCATCTTGTCGCTGGTCGTCTGTGTTTGTCCAGAGCAGAGCCTGATAACCTATTGTTCATCCTGCATACATTGTTCACAAGCCTTTTTTTTCTCCTCTCACAATCGCATTTTACACGCTTTAAAGTCTGATATAATTCCGTGACAGTAATCAATGAAAACATTCAGTTGAGACATGAAAGAACGATGGAGAACAATGCGAACCTCTGATCCTTTGCTTCCTAAGCCTTCCCTGTCCTCTTCCTCTTTATTCATCACACAGTCTGTTTTCATGTGACTTAATGGACAGCTATTTGTAAAATGCACAGAGCGTTACTTGTGATTTTGGTAACACTTTACAATACGCTGGCACCATGATGCATTAATCAATGCAGATAATCATGAGTTAAAGGGATGGTTCACCCAAAACTGAAATGTCTGTCATCATTTACTTATCTTTTGACTTATTCCAAACCTGTTTAACCTTCTTTCTTCTGTGGAACACAAAAGGAGGTATCTCGAAGAAGGCAGGAAACCTTTAACCATAGTATTTGTTTTTCCAACTATGAAAGTCAATGGTTACAGGTTTTACATTTACATTTAGTCTCATTTAGCAGACAATTTTGTCCAAAGTGACTTATCATATAGGAGGCATTTAGCGATTCAACAAGAGGTAATACACACAAGAAGGGCTAGTTATGCAAAGAAACTTGTTTGTGCTTAAACAATTTAGTGCTAGAGTTTCTTTTTTGAGAGAGAAAGTAATCCCAGCAAGCTTTTTTTTTTTGTTTTTAAAAGATCTAAATAGACACCTAGTCGTCTTGGCTAAAACAAGGCTAAATTAGGGTTGTCAGTGACAATCTAATAGACATCTAATAAACTAGACTAGTCATCAAATAAACAGAAATGAATGACTACACATATAAAGTCTGTCTAATCTGTCTATTTGATGACTACTCTAGTTTTGGACTATTCTTAGATGTCTATTAGATTTTCACTGACAGCCCAAGTTTAGCCTTGTTTTAGCCAAGCTGTCTACATTTAAATGTCTATTAGGCCCCGTTTACACTCAGGTCTTGATGCCCAATTCTGATTTGTTGCCTATATCTGATTTTTTTTGCCTGTCCATTTACACATTCTTTAAAATGTGACCCAAATCCAATTCATGTGTTTATACTTGCCATACAATTTACAAATTGTATGCATGCTTAAAGGCAGAATCCCATCTGCGCCACACTAGCCACGATGGAAGAAATTGTCTTGCTTTTAGCTCTTAAACGTTAAAATGATTTTGAGGCAGAGGTTGAGGGAAAGGGCTGACATCCCACTTTGCGCCTATGGTTTATATATGGTGTCCTCCACCATTCAGAGGAATTTGTGAGTACTAGAGAGACCTCAGGACTGGTGGGAGCAAATTGTGGCGACTGATCACTTTCCTCTTCCATGTTTTCTCTGTTGTTGTTGTTTACCGCGTAGGCCTCAATAAATTTGATCGGCCTGTTTACATAATAGTCGCATTGTCACATATGCGATTTATGAAGGAGGCCTGAAACCGATCTCTGAATATCCGAATGCATACATTGTTTTGTGTTTACACAGTTATAGAACAGATCCCATCTGTGTCACATCTAGGCCAAATCGGAATTGGGTCACATTTACCTGGTAGTGTAAATGCGGCTTTAGACGTCTATTAAACATAAAATTTTTGCTGGGATTCTACAGGTGGTTTGTGAAGTCCACTCACCTGTGCGAAGCACACTTCATAAATGCACAATGTTTGTGCTGGTTAATGTGTTAGTTAGATGAATGAGTTGGTTTTACACAGGTGGTTTGTTAAGCCCACTCACTTGTGCGAGACAAACCGAAATTTATAGCATTTTGGGGTTGGTGTAAGGTGAGAAGAAGGGCATTGTTTTTTTTCACAGGGATTCAGGTGCTTTTAGAACATATGGATTTCAAGTTGTTTGAAGGTTTTCAGCTTTCTTTTAGTGTTCAGCAGAAAAGAGAAACCCATAAAGGTTTATAACTAGGGTCGCACAATATTGGAAAAATTTGACATTGCAATATTTTTTTTTCTCTGTGATATAAATACAATTTCAGCAGATGACTTAAAAAGCTCTATTTAGAAAAGATTTCATTACTTTAGATTGATTGGGATGATTTTTTTTAGGGAAGTGAAATATAAATCTATTTTTATGTCATCTATTATATATACCTACTAAACAAACTACAATCATAAAAAATAAACACATTTGAGCAAATATATAAGCAAATTCAACAGTGGTCTAGTTTTCTGGGAAGAAACCTGTGGTTTTTTGGTCATCTATAATTCCAACTCAACTTTGCATATCTTGCGATGTGACTGAATATATATATATATATATATATATATATATATATATATATATATATATATAACTCTTGAAGAACTAAACCATTTATTATTAATGATTTCTGCATGGACAACAACAGAACATTCCATATGATTCAAAGATTGATTAATCTACACATATGGACTCTATAATACAATAATTAGCCTAGCATTTATTTAGTGCAAGCACATTGTAAGGTGTTACCGTGATTTAGTCTTCTTCGACAGATCAGTATCTGCTGATCAGATTGTATAAACGGCATGTTCCTGAATTTAGTCCTGTGACCAATAGCCTTCAATGTAGGACATATAAAAATACAGTCCTGTAGCAAACAGTCGTTTCACCACACTTTACAGAGTGGGTGCTTGTCCATGAAGTTTCCAAGCTTCCTAATGTTGTCCAATGTATCAATTTATAATTAGAAAAGCTACTCCTAACCTCAAATGCACCCTTTAGATTATTGTATTTGTGTCACCAAAATTGGCCCAGAGGACAACTTTGAGAGTCATTTGGGACAAGGTCTAGTTTATCACTTCAGCGGTGTGTTTGTGGTGTGCTCTTATGTGTGTGTGTTTGTTGTAGAGTCAGACCAGGGGTCAATATATGGAGTCCTTGGTGTTGGTTGATGTGTGCGTTGCGGTGGAGTCGTCCGGCAGGGACCCTCGGCGTGGGGATCTTCTATGGCAGCGCAGCAGGGCGAGCAGTTCACGGGACACGCTGCTGGAGAAGGCTGTGTAGATCCACGGGTTAGTGCATGAGTTTAGACTGGCTAGTAGCATCAGAATAGTGAAAACAGCCCCTGTGTGAGAGATGAAAGCAGATGTAAAGCCAGAGAAGAGTTTTCATATTTATTACTGCACTGGCAGCTCTGATAAAATTGTAATATGCACTTGGAAGTATATAAATGAGATTTACCCTATTTGATTGGTTAGAAAAGTAGTAGTATTAACTCCTCTTACACAAATTGTAGTCACTAATGTACAGTCAGGGTTATTAGCCCCCTTGTTTATTTTTCCAATTTCTGTTAAACGGAGAGAAGCTTTTTTTTCAGCACATTTCTAAACATAATAGATTTAATAACTCATTTATAATCACTGATTTATTTTATCTTTGCCATGACGACAGTAAATAATATTTTACTATATATTTTACAAGACACTTCTATGCAGCTTAATGTGACATTTAAATAATAATAATAATTCCTTACATTTATATACAAAAACGACAGCAGCCATTATATACGACAGCAGCCATTTTGCGGCAGGCCGCACACCACACCAGCTGATTGGTGGAGAGGAGATAAAGATGAAGCCAATTGGAATGTGGGGATGGTTAGGAAGCCATGATGGACAGAGGCCAGTGGGCAGATTTGGCCAGGATGCCGGGGTTAAACCGCTACTCTTTTTCGAAGGACATCCTGGGATTTTTAACAACCACAGAGAGTCGGGACCTCAGTTTAATGTCTCATCCGAAAGACGGCTTAACTAGGTTAATTAGGTTAACTAGGCAGAATAGGGTAATTAGGCAAGTTATTGTTTATTGATGGTTTGTTCTGTAGACTATCAAAAATATATAGCTTAAAGGGGCTAATAATTTTTTTTAAAACTGCTTTTGTTCTAGCCAAAATAAAACAAATAAGACTTTCTCCAGAAGAAACAATATTATCAGAAATACTGTGAAAATTTCCTTGCTCTGTTGAACATCATTTGGGAAATATTTAAAAAAAATAAAATAAATGAAAAGAGGGCTAATAGTTCTGACTTCAACTGTACATTTAGCAAAAAACAAAACAAAAAACTCCCATAAACAGTATAAATTAGCAGTATAACAGTATAATTCATGCATATAGTACATTGAAAGTGCAGTAGGTGATCTGCCTAAATGCTATCCCTTAGCATAATATCTTTGAAACAAGGTCCCACCCCTGCCATCCAAAGCCGCGCCTCCTAAAATCACGAATGCGCACATTAGATTAGACAGCCCACTAGATCATGTCATTCACCAGTTAGTAAACTTTATAATATTACAATTCCAAATGAATAATGTATTATATCTAGCAAATTTTCAGTTGTGTAGGAAGCAAAACTTCCTAATGTGCAATATTTCATGCATGCAAGGATTGTTGATCTTGCTCTTTCATGGGCTTTATCCCAAAGCGACTACTGTATGCTTAGAGCTTGGCCAGCGGGGTATAATAATTAATTATACTTTTTACTAAGCCATACTTGCATGCTATTTCAGACTGAATATTCAAAGTAACATGGTAAAAAAAACAGGTGACGCATCACGGGTTGTCATTGTTGAAAATGAACCAATGTGAATATAAAAGCAACTTTAGCTCAGTAAAGCAGGCTAGGTGGTAGAGCGCTATTTTCTGATGTTTTGTTGTTAAACTAAATCAAAATCTGCTTTATGGATGCTGTTAAAGGTCCCTTATGAAACTAAAAATAATCACATCAATCTTTCATCTGAAGATTTCAGTGGCTGAACAACACTTCTGTGCGTATAACCCATCCGTAAAACAACACAATCTACATCAGATTTACATGACTAAAATAGTTTAAAACAAAGCATTACCTGTCTAAAAGAAATACTTCAGCCATGCTGTCATCCTTCCTCCAGCATGCAAAATTAACTCCAATATTGATCCAAGATTTTAAAATTTTGATTGAGCATTTGTTTTTACCGCTCTCTCTCTCTCTCTCCCATGGCGGATCAGTCTGCATGAACATATGCACAGATGTACAAATCTGCATTTGCTGACAGACAGTTTGGGTTACTTATCAGAATGATGGGAATTGTCTACCTGACAATATTTAATTGAATGAACATTTTTTAGTTTTATGCCTTAACCAGAATATAAAAATACATGTAAATACATTAATACTATTGGAATGTGAAGAGACTTTCAACCAGCACAACAAAAAATGTTTTAATAACCTACTGCACCTTTAACTATTCAAAAGTTTGGGGTCAGAAAGTTTTTTATTTTACCATAATTTGTTTATTCAACAAACAAAAAATCAAAATCAAACAAAGTTTTGATTTTGAAGTCGGTTTAAACTTTCTATTCATCAAAGAATACACCAAATATTAAACAGCTGTTCTCTGTTTTTAACTGTCTTCAGTATTGATTATAATAAGCCATGTTTCTTCAGCATATTAGAAGGATTTTTTAAGATTTTCGTTTTTTGTCATAACAGGAATAAATTACTGTCACAGTTGTGTTCAATTTCACAGGCTCTTAGTTTCTATAACCTTGTTTTGTTCTCATCTGTTTCCATAGTAGCTTATTATGTTCCGTACCTGTGTCTGATTTAGTTATTTGCTGTATTTATTGTTATTTGTGTAATTTGGTTTGTCTTTCTCCTTGTGCCAGAGTGTTTTGAAAAACAACAACACTGACAAACATTTTAATATGGTAATATTATTAATATTCTTTGATATGAATTTAGGGGTGACACAGTGGCTCAGTGGTTAGCACTGTCGCCTCACAGCAAGAAAGTCGCTGGTTCAAGCTCCGGCTGGGTCAGTTGGCATTTCTGTGTGGAGTTAGCATGTTCTCCTTGTGTTCTTGTGGGTTTCCCCCATAAGTCCAAAGACATGCAGTATAGGTGAATTGAATAAACTAAATTGGATGTTTCCCAGTACTGTGTTGCAGCTGGAAGGGCATTCACTGTGTAAAACATATGCTGGATAAATTGGTGGTTCATTCCACTGTGGTGACCCCTGATGAATAAAGGGACTAAGCTGAAGGAAAATGAATGAATGAATGACTTTTACTATACCTTTCAAATGGAGCAGAACCTCTTTCAAAGTTACTGATCCCAAACTTTTGAATCTCCCACCACTTTATGTATGTTTACTTGAACTTCTTTGCAAATTAGGTGCACCATGCTAGTTTGGCTTCAGAACTGCTTTAATTTTGAGAAAAAAAGACCAATAGCATAAACATTGCACTTTCACCATCAGAGCTGCTGCTCACTCAGTATTTTCAGAATATCATATTTCATATAACTTTTTCAAAAAACGTCTTATTTTATTCAGTTTAGATCCCTAAAACTATTTACTAGATTAAAGTGTACAATACAGCTGCATGGCTAAGCTTGTGGAGATGTTTCAAAGTGATTTGGTTACCAGGTGGCCGGTCAAACTGTGCAGAAAGTCCCGCCTAATACAGAGGTGTAAATACCAATGAGATTACCAACCGACACTCATGAGAGTGAGCAGGTGTTTGTCTGTTCATGTGTTAAAGGAAAAGAGGGCAGGGGACAGTTAAATAACGAAGTGAAGAAAACAGATTGATTATTTCTGCTCCTGGAACCCTCCTCTCTCACACACTGTAGTTTAAGCCAAGCTTTAAAGCACCTGCCCGCAATTTCCAAGCAGACCCGAGGACCATGATGAACTGATTTATGTGTCTTTGATTGTACTTGGAACAAATCTCTGCAGGAAGGTAGATTTCCAAGAACAGGCACCTCAGTTATTGAGATGTTCCTGGAGAATGTGTTGCTTGTTTGGTTATTTAACACAATCCTGCTGATGGCAAAGCTGAGTTTCAGACAAATTTCAGTGGTACATGTTCAGAAATCAATCTAATGTTCTGATTGGATGATTATTCTGAATTACTCTACTTGAATTTGAATAGTAGAATACATATTTAAACTATGCAATGAAATCCGACAAAAGAATAATTAAATACTTCTTTTCTTAAAATTGTCCTAACATTTTTTGTACTTACTTTACCTAATGTGCATGGAAAAAAAAGTGTCACCACAAGCTAGAGGTCTGCATTCCGACCAGATTTCTTGTAGCGTGGAAATAAATTTTCGATAAAGCGTGGGAGCGGTCGGTAACTGGTGTATTTTGAATGGGAGCACTCCCGACTCCCGAGCGAGCGAGCACGCATATGTATGTGTGGGAATGAGAGAGCATGATGCTGCGTTTAGCTTGTTTGTTGCTGTCTGTGTGTGTGTGTGTGTGTGTGTGTGTGTGTGTGTGTGTGTGTATTTATGTGTGTATGTGTGTGTATGTATGTGTGTGAATGGGAGAGAGATCTTGGTGCAGTTTGTGTGTGTTTGTGTGTGAATGAGAGAGAGTGTGATGCTGTCTGTGTCACTTGCTTGGTGCTGTGTGTCTGTGTGTGTGTGTGTGTGTGTGTGTTTATACAGACAGCTTGTTATAGGCTGTCCGGACTCTGTATAGCCGGCGCGGCGGGTAGAAAATCGGGCGGGGCGGGAAGCTGAACAACTAATTCAAAATTTTGTCCCGCACAGATCCTACCACAAGCTTTGTGATTTCATAAGTGCTTTATCTACATTATATTATATTTGGTTTGCTGATTTATATATTTTTTTGAGAGAAACTGAGATTGTAAAGAAATTTTGTATTTGAGAACTCCACCAATTATTGCTTCATTTTTAAAAAAGTGTATGGTTATTTAAACATAGGCTCATTTTGAAAACGTAGCCCTATATACGTTTCTGGAGATCGCAAATCATGTAGCTAGAAGTACGTATGGCTGCACTTCATTTTTAAAACAAACGCTACAGGGCGGTATGACCATTCCTTTTCGCAATTAGCAGCTGACTGCTAACCTCAGTATGGACTGCTTTCTCGCTGTTACCAGTTTGTCTAGTTAGCTCGCCATGTACGTTGGTGGACTTGAGATGCAGGGAGGAGTTGACCACAATGCTTGAGTATGGTGAGGAACTGTTCAATAAAGCGGGTAAGACAAAAACTAAAGCTAAAAAATAAAAAATAAAAACAAGTAAATAATGGTTAGAATGTGGTAAAATCACACGAGGGTTGTTCTTTTTCGGGATTGCTTTTTAAAATTGCCAGTTGGGTTTTGGGAAGTGCATGGGCGGGTCAATCTGTGCCTTTTGAAAACACTATTGGTTGGGTTTAGGGAACAATAAGGGTGGGTCAGTCAATCAGTCAGTCAGTCAACAGCAGGTGCGAATGGCACTCGTTAGAGAGCCTCTGGTGGATTTGGGAAAACAAAAACCGCAAATAAATGTGGCTCCTGAGACATATTTGATGGTCTCCAGAAATGTATATAGAGGTACATTTTCAAAATGAGCCTGGGTTTGTATTTAGCACCCACAAAGCCCTATTTTGTGACTGTACAGAACATGTATATTCATTTGTTATATCTGTGAATCTGACCTTGGATTGGTGGGTTGGGGTCCCAGGCGGCCCATAACTGAACAATAAAGAAAGGAGACCAGCAGATGGTGTAGACCAGCACAATGACAAGAGTCATCCTCACCGTCTTAGACATGGCTTTCGTCACACCCGGGACAGGCGGCGGGTGCGAATACTCGGTCGGAAGTGGAAAAGCATCTGGAAGCACATCTGGCCATAGTTCAGAAGCTCCAGAGCTCTCCGTGTGTCCAGCCAATGCACACACGCTATTGGCTGATAATGACTGAGAATGGGTGGGGTCTGAGAGATTGTTGGGGCTGTTTTGCAGGTGATTTGGGATGGAAGGGTCTGAAGAGGGGCATGGCCCAAAGCAGGGTTCACACATAGAGCTCCTACAGGGTAAAGTCTGCGAGTATTCGTCATATAGGTTTGAGGAGAACTCTTCCTGTCCAGCATGATGTGAGCGGCTGCAGTGAGCTTGACTGAGACTGATTTCGCCTTGCTGACTGTGTCTGCTCTGTCTGCTTCTCTCGTTTTTCTTTCTCGTCCTTCCCCTGCCACCCTCCCTCCGGGGAAAGTGAAAGAAGACTGAGTTCTTCTTAAATTCTGCTGTTACCACCCGTTCTGACTTCAAGTAAATGTTGTCATGGATTTCTCTGAAGATGCGAACCTGAGATCACAAAGAAAACCATCAGATTATTTACAATTATACAATAGAACTGAGCAGAGAACAGTCATTGGATTTATATGAAAACAACTGTGATGTAGAATTAAATTTAATGAAATTGCAAAGTTTTTTGATCATAGTTTTACATTTAATTCAGTAAATTGTGCCTAATCAATGTTCTAAAATGTTTTATATCAATGGTGGGGTTGGAACCCCACAGGGATAATGAGGGGGGAGGGAGGGGAGGGGGGAGGTGATTTCCAAAAATGTAACTCATTTTATTAAACTATAAGAATGACCATATTTAAATATTCTATCCATAACCCACAGATAAAAAAAAATATTTAATAGTTTTATATAAAAAAAAAACATGCAAATAAAAAGCCATCAGCCTTTTGATTTTCTTGCGACCCCTGGGGTGATAATTATGTTATATTAAAGAGGCAGCACATTCATTTTATGGTCCCGAGTAAAATTTTCTGACAACTTTACGACATTTATGAACATTAAAAATAAATACAATCCGCAACTGAACATGGAGGATGATCTCCGAGTGGCGTTCGTCAAAACTAAATGATGAATAGACTTGGGTATGTTGGTATGTGTGTGCAATTGTGTGCAAGGTTTTTATATTTTAACCACCTTAGAAAACATTTGGGGTCGCAATTCACTGGCATTGTAATTTTGAGGGTCGCGGCAAGGACGTAGGTTTGCACTTGACATTGGTGGGTTCAGGTGGTTTGAAAGACCAAAAGTTGGATTATTATTATTATTATGTTAGAACATTTATTATTATTGACATGGCCAAATTCTGACTTCGGAAAGTTGATTGTACTGGCCAGTTTGTTATTTGCCTGTAGGGTTCGGTTTTTAATATAAAACAAGTTAACGGATTTCTAAAAATGAAAATTAATGATAGATGATAATAAATTTGTATTTTAAAAAGAAGTCTTGCTCTTAAATTTTCATTATTTATAAAACTGTAATATGAAACAGTGTAAATGCACATGTGCCTGATTTAAATGTTAAAATAATGTTTACTAACTGATAAAGAAAGAGTTAATAAAGTTTATTTTAGCCATAGTGCAAATAGTTTCAACTGAAAATGGACATGCGACTCTGAGAGATAAGGAGAACTGGCAGGGATCATATACTTTTACATGTAGCTGTTTATTTTGCAATTAGTTTTCAGGGCATATTACTCCCAAACTTTATCAGTTTGTTATAACGAGAGACTTTGTATTAAAGCGGGGGGAAAACACAAGCATTAACAGCATTATCATGATGGACTCATCCAGTGCTGAACTTGAGTTTATGTGACACACTTTGTTGAAAAAAGCTTCTAATGTCATTTTTTTTGCTGCCGCCATTCTCACTTGTGTGTGTCACACACCTTATTCTTGAACTGCAAATTCCCCTGCGCAGTTTTGGCGCTCACTGCTTGTATCTGAGCACAGCTACAGCCTCTAATGTGTCAGCAGCCAATCACAATGTTCATATGTGTTTGCAGGGTCTTTGAAGATATCATAATGTCAAATTTAAGACCTTTTAAGACCTTTTTAAGACCATTAAGTATTAAATTTAAGACCTATATTTAAGACCTATATCGCAATATCAAAAAGAGGCGAGAGAAAATGTAAAAGCACAAAATTAGGGGTAAAATAAAGTTATTTAAATTGAACAGTACTAAAGTCAGGTTAAATGCACCATTGAACTACAGCAAAAACAAACATCTTAATGCAGATTTATACTTTCACCTGGCACCGCATCGCACAACTCACGCAACGGTTTAAGGCTTTTATACTTGACACGTTCACCATTGAGATATTTTTTTTAAATGACAGGGGGCGGTCCAAAAAAACAGAAAGTAAAATCAGACGAATAAAAAGATAATCATTATCATTGAAGATGTTTTTGGGGGCCTCTTTTTTGTTTTAACAAACTTATCTCTCAGAGTTTTTCCAAAGTTTTACAAAAACTTTCCTCCTTTCCCATGGCTGTTGCAATTTCTAGCCAATAATTATTGGTCATTCTGGCAAGCAGAAATGTAACTGTGATAGAAAATAGGTAAAAACTTGATTAGGTATTATAGCTTACTGTACTATTCACTCTTCAAATAAATCCCACTATCAATCCCATTTTATCACTAAAATAAAGTGAACTAGTGTCTGCTGTACAGTGTTTTGTAAAGTACAGTAAAGTACTTCAATTACTCTGTTGTGGTAATACTATAGTTGCTATGGTAACACAACAAGTGTATTAAAAACAAACTACCCAGTGCTTTAGTTTTTTTTTTTTACAATATAGGGTATATTTTTCTACAATTCACCACAATTCACCAAAGCACGAAAGGAGTCAGACGGAGCGAGAGCAGATCATTCGCACGTGAGCAGCCAGTGTTTTGAGAGCTCGCAAGCAGTTTTGTCCATGAACAAAGGAAACCGGCGCGCGAACAGAGATTCGCTCTCTCGTATTACAGCGCTCCCGACTTATAAAACTGCACTTGCGACATTTGTCAGTGAAATAACGGCATACTCTGCCAGCCGAAATCATGTCACGCGCACTCAAAGCGAACTTCCGCAAACACAGCGATGATGTCACATTCGCCGCATGCACTGAGTTTAATATCAGAAAGCTAATTGGCTATTGCAAGTTGACTTTTTTGTAGTTGTAATAAAGCAAATTACAATTGGACTAGTGAAATAAAGAACTACAACACCCCAAAAACCTAGCAACAACAACAAAAAGAATTTAAATGAGCATTAGATGTAGCGTTACATGGACATCGCAAAAATAAGACCTGTGCAAAAATATTTAAGACCTAGAACAGCCAATTTAAGATTTTTTAAAGCCATAAATTAAGATTTTTTAATTTAAGACTTTTTAATACTTTTTAAGACCCCGCGGGGACCCTGGTTTGGGGGCAGTGCGACTTGAAGAGAAAAAATGATTTAACCCTTTTTGCATATCAACTTGACTTTTCTAGGTTAATGCTGACAGCGCGTTTTTTTAAAGTGAATTAAATTATTGGTGGGGACATTTCAATAGTTGATGGATATCAGTGAGGCCGCGCCCTCTCCATCCATGCTAAATCTACACCCCTGGGTCGCAGGCTGAAATGTTTGGGAACCCCTGTTCTATATAAAAATACTTTCACTATTTACCATTTATTTGACTTGCATTAGGGAGCAAAAGCTTGTTGTATGGCAACAGTCATTTAGGTAGAACTTGTCAGTGACATTTTAAATGTAAGGCTTAGCAAAATAAAATAAATTAGCATGTATATTTATGCATTTAGAAAAGTATCCAAAAATAACTTGCATTACATTTACTAGTTCAAGAAAATTGGGGTTTAAACTATAGACTATTAAAAAATACGGACGTGAGGAAAGAGGTGGGGCATGAGCGGAGCTACGGATGCCCTTAATTATGCAGACTTAATATAACTCAAAATAAATGAGATGGATGAATTATAAAAAATTCACCCCCTCACAGTTTTCATGAAGGGTAATATAAGCTTTATGCACCAAAACCATATTTTGTACCAGACTGTAAACATGTTTTTATCAGCAGTCAAATTGGCCAATTTAGCATTGCAGTCAGTGAGCATCTGTAATTCCTGGAGCCAGCCCCCAAAGGCCAGTTGATGAACTGCAGTTTCAGTTACTTCCGTATTAGATCAAGAGGGAGAGCAGGATGATGCCGCTTGGTTTAAATCCATAACAGCGCCATACAGTTTATCTAAATGAATGCCAAAAGGAAAGCCAAAGATGTCTACCTTATTAGCTAAACCTGTTTGAAATTCCTCTGGTATTACAGTGAATTTCTTTGAATTGCCATTAAGTTAATCTCTCTTCCTGTCATTCAAATTCAACATCCAGCTCATGAATGGAAAAGGAGGCAATTTCAGAATTTTCTGAACAGTTTAATTTCTGGATTTCACCCAAGCCCGCTGCAGTTATTAAATCTGTGAAGTCTGCAGTACATTTAATTCTCACTAAACTTTCCAACTCTTTGACATTTGCATAAAAGACACCATGTTCTTATTCGAAATTGAGCATTGTTAGAAAAGAAAAATGCAAAAGAGTAAGCATGAAAGAGAATAAATGGAGATACCTGACAGACCGTAATGATTAGGGCCGGCAATACAAACACAGCCACAGTCATCCAGGTGACATATGCTTTCAGACCCCACGGCTCCGCAAAGTGGCCCCAGCATTCAAACACCCCGGGGGAAACTTCTGACTGCGAGAAGATAAACACCTGCTTGCAGACGGGAAGAGAGTTATGAGCTTGAAAGAACAAATATTCGTGAACAACTGAAACAAATGATGATCTTATTTCCTCGCCTGTGGTAAACTGAGCACAAATGCCAGGCCCCATGCAACCATGATAGGGGTGTTCCAGCGAGAGGTTGCGCCCCCACGATATGCCTGTAGGGGACAACAGATGGCGTAGTGCCGATCCACAGTCATGGCTACAATCATGTAGGAGGATGCAAACATCCCGACAATCTGCAAATATTTCACAGAGCGACACAGAGCATCGGGACCATGGAAGCGCTCGGTGATGTCCCACACCAGCTGCGGCAGCACCTGGAAACAAAACATATAGTTCAAGGACAGATGTCTAGTTCAATCAGCTATAGATTGCACAGGGGTATAGATTCTTTAAATGCAATTAACATTTCAATTGTTTGGGTCAATGCTTGCTGTATGCTAGTCCGAAGGATAACCTGTCTAGATCTGCCTTGAGACTTAAGTAATCTCAGCAGCACGTTTTCCATGATCACAACTGAATGCAGTGCTACTTTCCCATTGTTTTTCTATATAAACAGGGGCCATGTTTCTTTCCAGCATCTTGTGCATGACAGTAGGGCGGCACAATATATTATTTTAGCATCATACAGGAATCAGTGAGTGAAATTCAATACCCTTTAAGACCTTTTTTAACACTCTTTCCAAACATTTTAAGACCTTCTAACCACTTTTCAAGCAAAAACACTGGCGAGATTTTAACTTACAGTACATTTACTGATTATTAATGTAAGAAACTAAAACAAAACTAAAACATGATTCATATACTAAATGAAAATCTATCAAATCTAGCTAATTCAGCAGGTTGGCGCCTATAGAGTAGGCATGGGACGATAACTGTTTTCAAGGTATACCATGGTTTGAAAAGTCAAGGTTTTAAAACCGACACATTTTTTCTGTAAAACCGTTCATGTGGTATGTGTAAAATCTTTTTTTACATTTCTTTTTAGTTTTTTAGTACAGTATCTCTAGCAGATAAAAATATCCAAAGATGCCGTGTTAAATGGTAAAGAAATCTGTGTTTTTGAAACAAATGAAGACAGCAGAAGTCAGATTCATTTGAATAACTTAGCCTGACATGTTTACTGCTCCAAAATTTAATTCATATTGTTTTAGTTTTTTTACCCAGACATTTAAAAAATATGTATTTTAGTAATCACAATACCATGATATTTTTATCAAAGGTTATCTTATACCGGCCCATGCCTACTTTAGAGCTGCTGAAATCATGGGATTGCCTTACTGCAGTAAACAAAGCAGCAGGATGTCAAATCTAGTAGGATTTTATTGATTTCATAAACTAGACAGCATCCTGATATTCGCAGATTTAATTCAAGCAAACTTTAGCATACAAACATACCTTGCATAATCAAAATGATATAAAATGTAATACGTTGCAAAATAGCATTTAAGACCTTTTAGCACTTTTTAAGGGCCTTAAATTTCTCTGCATTGATTTATCAACTTATACTTTTTAAGAAAGTCCACCCCGTGCATTCTCTGAGCATTGATATCGCAATGTGTGTGTCCACAATGGCCACATCACAGGACACGTAATATTGAGTTGGGATTATAGTTGATCAATAATTGAGAATACATGAGATTTGTGGAGTCATTGCAAAGTTTGGCATAGAATGTTTATCAACAGTGTTTTTTGAGTGCATGAATGAACATTTAAAATCACTCATTAGCTATGTTACCATCCAAAGATGCGAATTAACTTTATGCGCATAACTGGAATATCGCATGTAAGACATGCAAAAAAAAAGCAGCATTTCCATCCAAGTAGTCAAAGAAAACAAAATCGTCACTTCCTGATTAACTGGCGCTAAATATCAACATGCATGAATCTTTTCTTTATTAAATAAAAGACTTGCGCCTCAGAAGACACGCAATGAACACATGGTGGCTTTTGAAGGCATGAGAAGAGGAGCACAGATGCTCTTGACAATTTTGGAGGTAATTAATAATATAACAACACTAATAGCGAAATGGTTACGGAATTTTAGAAAGACCAAAACAGCATTTCAGATGTTTTACAATGTGCTCAGCCTGCTGGTTTGTCCATTCACACATTTTTACCATCACATAATCTCTTATAATAAAATAAAAAACTTTTGTTCCATAAAAGGGTTTCCATCGTAGTTTATGCGCATCTTTTCTTATTAAATAAAACGTTTTTCCTACTTACTTGTGTGCATATATGTTTTGTCATGTCAATGCAAAGGGAGCCATTGTTTTTTACAGAGTTAGCTTAGCAAAGCAGCATCCTGTGCAGCAACAATGTGTGGCCAGAGGCTGTCTAAACGCTGCTATTTCCACAGAACTTCTTCTGTTTCTGTGTTTGAGCTTTTTTTAAAAAAAATTAAACAAAGAGAGAAGTTCTTATAGTTTAATTTTAGTTATGTTCCAGAGGGATATAAAGAAAAAGATATGTAGCTAACATATGACAAAAATTTGACAGCTTCCAGAATCAATCTCAGTTCAGTGCTGGACTCAGCTAAAAACTCCTCATAAAAGGAGCAGCTCTAACCGTAACAGCAGAAGCTGTGGATTGTGAGCAACAACCTGTAGGTATTTTTATTTGTTAAATCTAGATTTGCTGATCTATTACATGCATAGTGTCCAGCATTACTGGGGTGTTGTAGCAAGAATGTAAACAAGGATGCAAACAATGGGAAATGCTGTTTGGCACCATTAGTTACAAATTCATATTTATCCGTCAAACCACTGTAAACAGCCACAATCTTCACCAGCGCTACAGTGTTTCTCTCTACGACCATTTCCCTGCGTTCTACATCTCAAATAGCGAACTCACAAAAGATATGTCAACGTTTCTTATTACTTAAAAATGCTTATTTCAAATATATGATAGACACTTGTCTGATTTTATTTTAGAGAGCAGGCGTGAGGTTCAGCTGTATCCTCTGTGTCATTTTCTATCTGATTCAGGCTCAAACGGATACGGCTAACAGCTACTCTGGGGTACATTTCTCAAACAACGACGTAACTCACAGCTGAACTATCATGGTACGATGCATCGTTTGGGAAAAGAACGATGTATTGACAAGTGTTTCCCTAAACGCATAGTTTCTCTGTCACAAATCCATTGCTTGAACTATGTTAGTTATAACGTATATGCCCATATTGACGCTTTAAACGTGGCTAAGGAACTACTTCTTTAGAGAAGAACGCCATCATATCTTTGTGCAAATTATATTGTTTTACAAAAACATGCATTTACAATAAAAACACTTCCATATTAACCGAATTATATGTAAATGCCACATATAGAGCCTATGTTTACTTTACAAATATTATTGAGAAGGACATACCCTATTCTAAAACAAATCACTTATAAAAGCTAACTCTATTCTAATATCATATATAAACCATATGAATAAATAAATAATGAGGCTATTTATTATAAAATAAAATGTTATATTTATTATATATTAGGAAATTAAAAAATCTAAATTTAATAATAATATAAATAACACTAATGATGATCATGAGGATGATGATGATGATGATAATCATTATTATTTTTATTATTATGTATTAAAAATGATAAAATCATAATTTAATAATAATATTAATAACATTAATGATGATGATGATGATGATTATTGTTATTGTTATTATTAAGTAGGGTATTGTTTATGTATTTTTTATTTTTTAGAAAAGTCTAATTTTACAATTTGACACTTGTAAACCACAGCAGAAAGTTCTAACCAGCAGGCCCATGTCATATACAGTATAGATTCTTAATCAATAACCTACTATAAATTAAAAGAATTGACATATGCTTTTTGTTTTCACAAGCTTTGGAGACGTAACATAAATTCTGCTTTAAAATAATAGGTCACCTACCTATAGCTTTCGCCATGAGGCTGTGTTCAAAATGACATCAATGTTTTCAAAGTGCACTGAGAAGGGAGCACAATTGTAAACATGAAGATCGCTAAAACTGAACTGTAAAATTACACCAAAGAGAGATGCTTTTTTATTTTAAATCATTCCAAGTTTAAATGTTAGAAGGTTCTAAATGAATAGGGCATAAGGGGGATAAGTGGAAAGAGAACACAGCCAGGAACTATGTTTCAAACTACAGCTCCAGAGCTGTAGTTGCTAGAGCTCAAGTTTGAGATGCAGTTTGTGAATGTTCATTAGAGCAACGGATTTGGGAAACTGTAAATCAAAAAACTATGTTAGTAACCATGGAACTTGCGACCTTAGTTGGCTAACGATGGTTTTGGGAAATGCACCCCTGACTGACAGTATTTACACAGCCGTGGCACAGTGCATGCGATAAGAAGCGTGAAGCTCTTCCTGGTGACATGGAGCCGATCCGCAAATCACAGCACGTTATGATAGGCAGGCCTTTTGGAGGAACTAGGACTCCAAAATATCCTAGTTAACATATTTTCATGTTAGCTGAGTAGCAGTACATAATCAAAGTAAGATATATGAAAATTATTGTGAATGTTTTTTTTTTTTTTTTACAAATGAAGCATGAGCACACATTGCTTTGCATCTTATGAACACAACCAAGCCTTAAAAATACACTCTGGACCACCTGTTTAAGCAAATGACATATAGAGCTACAGATGATGCATTATCTTCTAAAAATGCAGCCAATGAGATCGCTAGTTTAGCATTTAAAGGTGCAGTAGGTATTTGTCTTCAGAAACATTTTTGTTGTGCTGGTTGAAATTCTCTTCACATACCAATAGTAATGATTAAAGTAAATGATCTAAAGGGATTTATAAGTATTTTTAAATTCTAGATAAGGTATATAACTAAAATATGTTCAATCCAATTAAATATTATTGAGGTGAAGTTGAAATGACACATTTGTTTCACACCCTCTGGCCTGTAAACAACTGCGCTTTATAAAGTGTGTGTCTCCATAGAGTTTTCTAACTGGTGAATGGCATGATCTAGTGTTATATCTAATCAGTGAGCGTTCGTGTGTTCATGACTTAAGGAAGCGTGGCTTTGGATGGCAGGGGAGGGTCGTAAAATTTCTAAGCTATTATGCCAATGCTAGTATTCTGGCAAATCACTGGCGACAACACCTTTAAATAATCTGATTCAGTGTTTGCTGTAGACTAGTCCTGTGGTCCACAACAGGGTTTCCTCCGACACACTCTACCTTTCCAACTTCACCTTTTTAGATCTGTTATAGGATATATGTATACCTTTTCATGCAGCAGCACATTTTACATGCTCAAAGTAGGGTGTCTATGTTTCTGTTAGCATTAGCAAGTCTAAATGCTTCACTAAAAACCACCAACAACATTATGAGGGAGTAAATGAACAGCAATTATTTTTGGTGAACTATCCCTTTAGCATACCTGCTTCTATCACCACACTAAGCATGTTAATAGTCTGAAGTGAATGTTACCTGAAAGAAGGCCACTACCAGGTCAGCCACGCACAGATTGACCATGAAGAGGTGCATAGGAGCGTGATTTTTCTTACGACGTAGTAGCACCCACAGCACAAATCCATTGCCCAGAGCAGTGAGGGCTAGAACCAGTCCCAGTACCCCGATCTCCGCCTGGGCTAAGGCTTGGTCCCTCACTCTTGGAGGGGTCACTGGCTGCATCGTGGGCCTCATTGTGGTCCATGTGACATTTTCTGACGGATATAGCCAAAGAAAAGCCCCTGTACCACCATAGCTGCTGCTGAGATTGAAGAGGGAGCTGGACAGATCTGGTGGCCCCTCCATCTCCAGCACAGAGTGATTGGGCTGACCCAAATTATCTTCCCAAGAGGCTATCCTCATGACCTACAATGAGAAGGACAGGCGTGAGAGGTGAAACCAACACTCCGAACACTCATGCTTTGCTGGCCTAAATTGGTAAACAATTTACAGTCATTTGAACAAAATAAGAACACATTAATTTTCTTCTGTTAGCTATTTCTGTATCTCTTTTACGAGAGTAAACCAATGGTGGCATATAAATCAGATGAGATCAGTCAGAGGATGTCTCTTATACAGTCTCAAATTAAATTCTCTATCTTAGCTTCTGTTTTAGGGGACGCTTAAGAGCAAGCTTTTAAAACATTACAGCAAATCATTGTGTTTAAGCCAAAACAGCATGAAATGTACTATTCAACAAATGTTTGAGGGTAGGTTAGAAGTTTATGAAAAGGATCGCAAAGTAGGTTGTAAAGTTTGTTCAGACTAACTTTTATGTTGGTTTGAGAAAACCATGCCTGAATGTTTGAAACAATATGAGTTTTTTAGCATGTTGCTAGAATTAATTAGCATGCTGCTAACAAGTGTTTCTGACATGTTGTAAAACGAAGTAGCATGTTTCTAAAATGTTTAGAACTTTGTGGCTAGCATGAATTAGCAAGCATTTCTTCTGTTAGCATGGAAACAAATTGTTAGCATGAATTTGCATGATTTGCTAAAATGTCTTGTGTTTAGCGTGCTGCAATAGCCAGAATTAGAATATTGTTGTCTTGTTTAAACTGTTGTTAGCATAAATTTGTTTCTAGCATGGTGTACATACATTATGCTGAGACAATTTTAGCATGTTTTAGTATATTTCAGAGCATTTTGCTTTCATGTTTACATTACAAGCACCGAATAACATGTCAATAGCAGGTTTTACCACACTGCAAGCATTTTCGATGGGCTTTAGACAGGTTTTGACCAGACTTTACTTTTTAGACTAGTCTTAGGCCCCGTTTACACTAATGCGTTTTCGTTTTAAAACGCATAAGTTTTGCTATGGTTTCGCCATCCGTCCACACTACGCCGGAGTTCTCGAGCGCCGAAAACGCTGGAGAGGCCGTTTTCATTCTAAAACGCTGCTGCTCCGTCTTAGTGTGGATGAGGGAAAAGGGGAGACATCTGAAAACGGAGGCGGGACTGCTGAGATTCGCTACCTGATTGGGGCTTTTGTGTTGTTGCGTATCCTTCCCTTATTCGTCAAGTCCCTATCACATGACTACAACACATGGCTTTAACGCTACCGGAAGACAGTACTGTAAACAACAACATGGGCTCAGAAATGGGAGCGTTGTTTGCACTATTGTCTGTTTTAGGTGCCATTGTGCAGTTTAGTAACAACTTGACCTTGTCGTCTGTCCACAAAAATACCTCTCTTGCTTTCTTTGCCATCGCGTTTAATGTTCTACCGGTGTTTGTTGACTAACAATAACCAAATGCCGAGCGAGACGCATGCTTTCTGTATATAATAGATCGCGCATGCCCAGAGTGCGCGAATGGTCATGTGATATACGTTTTTGGTGGCGTAGTGTGGACGGACATATGTTCAGAGACGCTAGGTGAAACGCAAGTGTGGATGCGGATCGTTTTTGATCTAAAACGCCGTTTTAAAACTAAAACGCACTAGTGTAAACGGGGCCTTAGGCTACGTCCGAAATGCATATACTATGGTACGCTAAAATCGGTATGTGAGCAGAGTGGTATGTCTGAAATCATATAATTCGAAAAACAGTATGCCAAAAGTACCCGGGTGACTTTCCACCTCCAGCGAGATTCTAAACTGTGCATGCGATCCATGCTACACTAACTCATATGCACTGCGAGAGAATTCATGAATGAGAGTTAAGCAAATGACGCGGGTAGGTCACGAGGTCATGACAAAATGGCGGATGTATTACACCCGAGTTACATTCATACTGCTCGCTTTCATACTGTATAGAACATACTTTTTTAACGGCCAAGTAGTAGGTTTAAATTAAAACGCAGTACCTACTGAGTAGTAGGCGGTTTAGGACGTAGCCTTAGACTCTCCAGCTGAAACCCATCTTGGATGGCCTGGAACACCAGTTTCATCAGGTTTAGCCGTTTTTTTCCCCTCCAGCAGGGTTCTAGCAGACTACCACATTTTACTAGGTTGCTTTCATGATTTAGCATGTTAGTTTGTCATACAGTAGTCTTGCCAGACTTAGGAAGTCACAGATTAGCTAGCTGGACAGTAGAAGGTCCGAAGGTCCCTGAGCTGTTAGATGTAGGTTAATATTTGATTATTGTGATCACTTAAGTGAAAGTTAATGGGATTTTTCACAGTTTTCATCATCCATCTATTGAAAACAGTTTGACCTGACTTTGGTGGTCATAGACTGAAAGGTCTAGGAGTACAAGTGTTTAGAAATGTAATATTAGTAGAAGAAGCAGCACTAACGCTTAAATATTCCAGTATGTTATTTTTAAGCCAACATGATAAAACCTAAATAAAACTGTCAGTGGATTTATTAAACAGCACTGAATCATTTTCAGCACTATAATATCACAGAAATCCCTCCAATCTCTTTGTATCCACCTCATTAGGATGCTACGTGGATTATTATGACCAGCTGCTTAAACACATTTAAGCTCATTTATTTAGGTGAAATCTGAACAGCAAATCTGAGACTCTTTTGGGATCTACGCATCCTTTGTCTCCAGACACAGGAAAACATATTTGCGGTGAGACTGAGGGAAAAAACAAAAAGATATGGGAACAATTATGGTTTAAATCCCTCTTTTGGAGATGCAATGCTGGATTGAGTCATGAATGGGGGAGGTGGGCAGGAGGAACGACTTTCAGAGCTTAAATGGAGAAGAGTGCAGATTTTAAATGTGTCTGTAATTATTATGTGCTCACATACTGTATATGCCTTCAATAGAGAAAAGTATTGCGCTTTTACTCTCATTAAACTTAATTTTTGCCTAATTTACAGATCAGTTCACAAATTGTTACACATTTAAAGTACTTGCAGTTGACTTGCCTTGAATACTGGTATTAACAAAAATATGAAATCAAATAAGAGAGAAAGACTAAAGGTGCAAAAACATTCAAGAAATCAGCATTGGATAATAAAGGCAGAAGATTGTTGGTTATTATGAAGAGTGCTGCCATTAAAAATGAAATTCACTCAAAGAAATTCATTCAGCAAGGATGCAAAGGCAAAAACAATTCCACAAAAATAAAAAATTAATCAATAAAAGAATCACTTAGATATTTTCTTTTACTTAGATCAACAAATAAATTTTCAGAACTGATGATAATAAACATGTTAGAGTCATTTCTGATGGACCATGTGACACTGAAGGCTAAGGTAGCCAGTTGCTAAAAATTTTTGCTTTCCTATTACGGGAATACATTGGAAATAAAGACTAAATTAACTAACATGTTGCTTTAATTATTTTTTGTCATCACTTGATTCTCTAATACAGGAGTTCTCTACCACAGTCCTGGAGGTTCGGTGCCCTGCAGATTTTAGCTTCAACCCCAATCAGACACACCTGGGCTTGCTAATCAAGGTCTAAAGCTGTGGTCACACTGGACTTTTCCTCCCATAGACTTCCATTCATATACATGCGAATGCGTCAGACCGGAAACGCAGGGTCATGCGTCAAGTTTCGGAGGTTACTCCAGTGCAAAGTTCAAGCTTGGTGAACTCTGGACCTGTAAAATCACATCACTTGACTGCTTGAGACCAATTGAGGTTCAAAACATAACCTCTCTGGACAGAAATTTAGAACATGAAGCAATTCCTTGGTTTTTAAATGTCTAATCATCTTGTTTAATCCCGCCCCTTTTCGCAGCGCCGTACAACAGAATTTCTCACACACAAACTCTAGTGTGACCGCAGCTTTATGCTAAATTTCTGTCCAGAGAGGTCATGTTTAGATTCTTGATTGGTCTCGCAGTCAACTGATGCGATTTCGTAGGTATAGTTCACCAAGCTTAAACTTTGCAATGTAGCGAAACTGAAGCATTCGTGTGCGTATGAATGGACGTCTTTGGGGACAAAAAAGGGCAGTGTGGCCGCAGCTTTACTAGGTGTTCTAGAAACATCCTTGCATCCTTGACTGAGTTTGAGAACCCCTCCCCTAACATTTATTTACTCTTTTATTATTTTTTCACCTTTTTTAATAAGATCACTAAATAAGACTAACATGGTTAACATGTTTTAACATTGCTAGCATAAATTAGCATTTTAAAGGGATAGGTCGTTCAACAATAAAAATTTACTCTGTATTTACTTTTCCAATTATATGTAAATAAGATCTAATTAAATATTAATCCGCACATTTGTGCAGAAAATAATTACATTGAATGAGTTCTGAAGGACTAAGTGACATCAAACACTGTAACTGTGCAGAAAATACAGTTTGACGTTTAAAAATATATACACTCACCACTTTATGAGGTACCAGAGGTGGGAGTACGTCACACATGTGAAAGTAACAAGCAAGGCTCAAGTCATAACCTTCAAGTCTCAAGCAAGTCAAGTCACTGCTTATTTCAAGTTACATCAAGTCATCGCTTGGTCTAGCAAGTCACTTTCAAGTCACTTTCAAGTTTACAGAAAATGATTCAAAAAATAGAAAACATCCAGTGAGTGGCAGTTCTTTGGGCACAAATGCCTTGTTGACGCCAGAGGTCAGAACAGACTGGTTCCAGCTGATAGAAAGGCAACAGTAACTCAAATAACCACTCATTACAATCGAGGTATGCAGAAGAGCATCTCTCAATGCACAACACATCAAACCTTGAGGCGGATGGGCTACCACAGCAGAAGACCACAGTGGGTCCCACTCCTGTCAGCTAAGAACAGGAAACTGAGGCTTCAATTCACACAGGCTCACCGAAATGGGACAATAGAAGATTAGAAAAATGTTGCCTGGTCTGATAAGTCTCGATTTCTGCTGCATCAGAAATTTGGCATCAACAACGTGAAAGCATGGATCCATCCTGCCTTGTATCAACGGTTCAGGCTGCTGGTGGTGGTGTAATGATGTGTGGGATATTTTTTTGA